AGCCACAGGTGTGGGTTCAATTCCAGACCTGAAGGGCAGCTAGGGTCCATAGTCTCAGTGGTTCCACCAGGCTCTATCAGACCAGCAAACCTGGTCCCCCTCCCCTTTTTTTTTTCCCCCAAATGATTTTGAGTTTTGTTCCACATTGTTCTCCCTCTCTGTCCAAGCAGATATTCTATCTTTCTTGAATTAACTTTTTTCATTAAATTACCTTCTACCTGGAAAACACTATCTCTTATCTCAAGGAGCTTGAAACCTAATAAAATCTCATGCTATCTTCTGGATATCTTTTATGTTCAGTGCTATACCGTTTAGATTTTTTTCTTTTTAAATCTTGAAATGATATTTTCACTTATATAACATGAATTACTGACCACTGGATCAAGAATTGTGCTCTATACACAATGATATAGCTCATCCTTTAGGATTTTAACAGAGAAATATTTTCTGATTCTTGCAAGAAAGCATTGCTTTCCTATGTTTCAATTGACTGTTTATATATTTTTATGACAGTAATGGTGGTGCAACTTTTAGGTCTGAGACTTTACTGATTCATGGATACTGGCAGAGGACATGAGACTCCTATCAGAGACAGAGGTTTTTGTTACTCGCATTATAGCAAGTAGCATGAGCATCAGCGTGTTTGTGGCAATTCCCCAAGTCCCACAGGAGTGATGTGTAGAGCTCAGATGGATGCCTGCATATGCAGTGGGTTGCATCACAGGAGAGGAACACTGAGCTTTAAGGGACCCATCATCTTACAGCAAGTAGTAAAGCAAGCCTGCTCTCTGTCCTGGAGGGAGACCCTTAAGAGTGCTCACTGTAGACATAACCCTGGAGAATGGTTCAGGTAAAGAGTAGTCAGGGGCCTTGCATTCTCATCAGCAAAACATGTAGAGAGTAAAAGACCCATGGAGGAGTGTCTCCAACAATATTTACCCCTCATTTCTACACAGTCTTGGCTTCTGGTAAGTTTTCACAAGAATATGCTACTCCTTTGGCTACTCTAATTAATATGACCAACAAAGGTTGGGACCAAATCTGTTCAATTCATCTAAAGAGAATTTTGGCTTTTTCCTCCTCTGCATTTCCAAATAAACTTTTAAACATCAGCTTATCAAGGTACACATACATATGCACATTGACATTTGAGTGGAGTTGCACCGAAATCTATCAATTAATGAGTCAGTGTGCCAAAATATATCTTCCTATTTATTTAAATCTTCTTTAACGTCCATCCGTAAAGCTTAGTAAAATTACTAATGGCCCTTTAGTAGCCTTTTATTTATTTTTTTTTCTTGCTAAATTTAGTCCCATGTACTTGATATATTTCAATGCTATTAGAAATAATTATGTTTACATTTTGTTTTTCCTTATACACCTTCTCCTTACTTATCAACGATCTTGTTTTTCAACATTTTGCATTTGCAATAGTAAAAAAAAAAAATTTATCAGACTATTTTGTATATGTGTTAATGACAAACATCTGGCAGTAATGAGTGCCAACACGCAAAGTGAGAGTAATGTAGCTTTAATGGTTAAGATTATGTGTCAACTTGGTTGGGCCATCTCAGTGATTTAGCAGTTACATAATGATGTGATTTGGTACTTATATAATGATGTAGTCATCCTCCATTTTTGCATAATGCCAATTTCACATAATGACCTGGTTTTTGGAACCTATCCATGTCAGTAAGTGAAAAGAGGGTATATAGTGAAACAGTTTCTGTTTGCTGATTTTATATCCAGAAGTCTTGCTAGATTCTCTTATTGACTCTCATTTTTCATTTGTGGACTCTTAGATTTTTCTAGATAAACATTTATATCTATATAAATTGTTCCCCCTCCCTTTCCTTATCCTTACATTTTTTGGATTTTTCCAGATAAACATTTATATTTGGGAATAATTATTTTTTCCTCTTTTCAATCCTTATGTTTTTTCTTTTTATGGCCTTAGTAACTATTAAACCATGTGATATAACTGATACCAAACCATGCCAAACTGACTGCCATCTAGTCAATGCTGACTCGTACCATTTGGTTTCCAAGGCTGTGAATCGTTACGGGAGAAGCCTGCCTAATCTTTCTTCTGCGGAGCAGCTGGTGGGTTCAAACTACCAACCTTTTGGTTAGCAGCCAAATGCTTTACCCAGCGCACCACCAGAGCTTCTGTAATTTTAAGTGTGTGTAAAATTGTAGGAGTGGTATTAACATCAGAACTTGCCTGACTTCAGGGAGAATAATGACCAGCATCAGCTCAAAACTGATTCCCATGAAGTGGAGGTCAGTTAAACCTCTACTCTCCAACCTTTTCCTAATTCTGATACCAGGGATCCTTTGCATAGCACTCTCTATTTCTTGTCTGGGTTCAGTAAGCTGTTATAGTGCCCACACAGAATTCACAGGACTATACTTACCATTAAGTGCTTTATTAAGGAACAGGGTATCCTCTGGGGTAAAAAAAAATATTTGTCTTTCACTTTGTAGTTATTAGTTTTTGTTTTATGTATTTTGGTATGTTATTGATGAGTACAAATCCAGGATCAGGATCAAGAAGCTTGTAGGCAGTCTCCCTTCTTTAGTGCAAGACAACTCTCTCAGCTCCTCTTGGTTATGCAGGCCTTCTCCTGGCTCTGCTATCTGTCACTGCTGGTTCTGCTGCTGGGCTCCTTCCAAGTGTCTTGTTGTCTTCAATGTTATAGCTCTTGACTCATATTGCAGCTCTTTTTGGAGGTTCCTTGCTTCCTTTCTCTATTTATTCTCTTCTTTTTTCTTTCTGCTTCTTTCTGTCCTAAAAACCCTCTGTGTGTCTGGCTGCTTAAATACACAAACTCCTTGTCAGTTTCAAGGCATGGAACTCCCCCCAAGACTATGAACTGACCAATCCCCTTGGCAGGCTACAGACATTTCATTTGTATAGTAGGCTACAACACACCTCATTTGGATAGTCTATTTTACCAATCCCTGCAAGGTGCATACCAATCACAGGAAAGGCTGCAGCCCAGGGCCAGACAAAAAGTATCAAACCCTGTTATTTACAGAGTGTCCAGGAAATGTCAATCAACCTGAATAAAGGTAATAAACCCCCTGGGGTAAAAAAAACTTTATCTTTCACTTTGTAGTTGTTAGTTTTTGTTTGATATATTTTGCTGTGTTATTAATGAGTACAAATTTAAAATGACTACATTTTCTGATGATCCCCTCTATTTTATAATTCTTTTTGCCCTAAGATTTATTTTGTGTGATATCTTTATTTCTGTGTCATAATTAGTGGACTACCTCTCCACCACATTAATGTGAGTTCCATGTGGGCAACAACTTGAAAGTTCTGTATACTCAGCACCTATATAGGCACACAGTTGTTCAATGGCTAGGTAAATTAGGGTGAAAGTTAAAATTAGTTGGCTGGGGAACTTCAGGTGCAGAAAGTTGAGTTAACCTACTCCTTATTTCATGGTGTTATTATTGGGTTGTACAAGAGGACCTCAAATGGACTGATTGGTTTATCTCTATTAACTATTCTCCTTTCCACCTATAGGCAACTGGTCTAATGTGTTTGAAATATACCATAGAATTGTGAGTATTCTTATAGAATATGTAATACTGTTTTTGTATACGTTTTTATTTACATAGATGGCATAGGTTCTTTGTTGTTAGAAATCTCATTATATGCCTTGCTTTATAAACACTCAATACCAAGTTTCTAAAATATACTTTTGTTGCTATTTATGCATCTAGCTCATCTTACTGCTTCATAGTATTCTAGTATGCGTCTCACATATTTTATTCCCTGGGCTATAATTACAAATCTGTAATTCATGAATTGTTGTTTGTTGTTGTTATGTGCCGTCGAGTCGGACCGACTCATAGCGACCCCTCCTTGGGTTTCCGAGGCAGTATCACTACGGAAGTAGGATTGCCCAACCTTCCTTCGAATTAGGAAGGGATATTTTCAACCTATAAATACATAATAATAAAAGGTGATCATAAATGCTTGTATTCTTTGAATTTACCTTAATTGTGCTCTTATCTTTAAGCTTCTGGAGTTATTCTTCATTCCAGGCTTACAGATTCCCAGTCTGCTTGCTCTTCATCATGGGGATATAGTCATTTTCATCTTGTCTATCTTCCCTGCAGGTTGGAATACTGTGGTTTGACCTCCCTCTGTTGTCAGGATCTCTCCTCTACTCTTAGCATCAACCAAAGACTGATAAAAATAAATCTGACACGGAATAATTTAGGGTTTGAAGGAATTAAAAAGTTGTGTGAAGTCTTACAGTCACCTGGATGTAAGCTACAAATTCTAGGGTAAATCTTCATTGGTTTCTCAAGGGGAGAATTTCCTATAAGGAGGGACTTTAAGATCCACCCATTCATTGCAAGCCTCAGGGTCAACCTGATTTCCTCTTTTAAGAGCTTATGTATCTTTGGGCATTTTCTAGGTCCTCCTTTATTTTCCTCCTACAGAATCTTGAGTTTTGAGAGAGGTCATGTAGCATAGTACTATAAGAGCAAAGAATTTGAAATTTGGAAACTGAGTTTGAATTCTGGCCCTGCCACTTCTTTGATGTTTGAACTTGGGACTAGTTACCTGATCTGTATTTTAGTTTTGTTATCTGTAAAATGAGTGAAATAAAATCTACCTGTACCTGTTGAGAGGATAGGTCAACTGAATCAATATATGCTAGGTACTGTTTTGTATTTCATTTTTCCTTCGAGTGCTAGGTCTCTATCACTCACAGTTCCCTTCTCCATTCCTCAACCATATTAATATTCCCTTTTTACTTTAACACAGCAGGGTCCTCCCCCCCCCCCAAATAAATGAAGGGCTGTGGGGAAATAAAATGCAAGAAAATGGATGTTCCCTTGTTTTCTCAGGTTGTGCAAAGAGACATTTGATGAGGAAGCCCAGAAACTTCTGGAGGCTCTGGGAGTTAGCAATCCACACCTAATCATTAAGCCCATCCGTAAAGACCAGAATGAAGAAGATGGGTCCTGGTGGCAGCATTTCTGATTTGAAGATCCTGGTACTCTAGTAAAAATAATTAAATAAAAACCCTCAGAGTGACTGGCACTGGGGCTCTTACCTTTAAATAGTCTATGACCAGACATAATGCACTGAAAGTCTCTTAGATATAGTTAGTTACTTCTCTCTAAAATGTCTGTTCTATTTCACATGGGGGTTGAGAGGCTAAAATAAAATGAAAAATATCAAATTCTCTGAAAAGTGTGATTGTATTTTTAATTGACTGCAGAGTTTAAGAACTCAGATGAGAAAAGCCTAGAAGAGAGACTAGAGGGTGGGGCCAAGGAAGATTGTGTTACAAGCACCTTGTCTCCCTTCTCTTCCTTCCCGCTGCCATGACTTCTTAGTTCAGACTTGCCACCTCTGGCAAGTGTTACTGGAATGTTTCTCCAGGTGTGTTCTGGGCACCACCAGTACCAAAATCACTTGGTATATCAAAAGACTTGATGAATTATAATCTCTGGGGTCTCAGGAACTGACATTTTAAATAATTTTCCAGGCAACACTTTTTGAGAATCACTAGTCTTAAGACATGGGAATCTACTTCTGCAGTGTACATTTTTTGTATCCTATTACAAAGACAAAGGAGGTTTAATTTCCTTTTAGGGCATGTAAGGTTATTGGGTAAGAGTTAAAAACAGGTTCCTCCATTTGGCAGAAATAAGAGCATAATTTTCTATTAAGGACTTTTTGGTTATTTATTGCTATGTAACAAACTGCCTTCGTGCCTGCTTATTTATCTATGGTGCTATAACAGAAAAAACAAAAATGGGTGGCTTTAACAAATGGAAATTTATTTTCTCAGTTTTTGAGGCTAGAATTCAGGTCACCAGCACTGGGGAAGGCTCTGTCTGCTCTGGGGAAAGTCTTCTTTCTTTTCAGCTTCCAGTCCTCGGTTCCTTGGCAATCATGTGGCTTGTATTATCGTTGCTCCCTTGCTGCTTGCTTAATCTGCTCTTTCACACCTCAAAACAGATTGTCTTAAAAGACATCCTATACTAATATTGCTTCATGAACATAATAAAACCCTATTCCCAAATGGGACTATAAGCAGACGTGTAGTGGGATTTATAATACATTATTTTGAATTGTACAATTCAATCCATAACAGTACTCTTTTAGTACATAGTAAAACTTGTGAAAGCCAGAACCTGCGTAAGGCAGAAAACTGTCAGAGAAGGAAAACTCAAATATTTTCCACTAAAAGAAGTGAGAGAAAAGTAGTAAGACTGTACCCTGTTAAAAGTTGCAAGGCCTGGAAAAACAAGTCAGCCCCATCGACTTCATTTTCACTGTATTTCATGACATGGTAGATCACAATTCAGGAAGGATTCAGCTGAATATTTCTTATGCTCCACAGGGCATCAATTGGGGTCCCTTGGTGGTATTCAGCTGGCAGCCATGTTACTCTGTAAACCCCAAGACAACTTTACTCACATGCCTGGTGAGGATTGTTAAGAACCCATAACCAGCATGACTGCTGTCACTGGGAATCAACCACAATAATGATTCCTCTCTACATATCATCTATGGAAATGTCATTGATATTACTCATCTATGTAGGTATCAATTGCAGTAATAGTACCTGTAAATTTTCACATCATTGCAGTTTGCCCACTTACAATGGCTAAGGTCCACCCTTTTCTCCAACCTTGCCACATTTACTCACGTGTTTTGGCGAGGATGGCTGGAAGGCCAGGTTTACTTGGGCCCCTCCTACGTCCAATCTTAGGGCCTTTTCCACAAGGTCTTTCCAGCAAAGCTGGACTTCTTTAATGGGGTGATGGGTTTGAATAGGCCAAGCAGACATTACCAGTTCTCTTAAAATCTGTGCTCAACTGGTATAAAGTAACTTCTGTTGTACTCTTGGTCAAAACAGTACAGACCAGCTCAGATTCAAGACAATCACTTCTTGATGGGAGCAATGTGAAAGGATCTGTTATCTTTAATTCACCACACACTATCAATTTTTCTCCCTGTCTGCAGGAGATAAGAAAGCCTCTTAACTGGTATAATCACCTCTAGGTCAGTGTGGCCAGGCTGGAGATAAGGGTGGACCTTAGCCATTGTAAATGGGCAAATTGTAATGATGTGAAAATTTGCAGGTAATGTTACTGCAACTGATACCTACGTAGACCAGTAATATCACTGACATTTCACATAGATGATATGTAGAGAGGAATCATTATTGAGGTTGATTCCCAGTGACAGCAGTCATGCTGGTTATGGGTTCTTAACAATGCTCACCAGTAGTTCTTAACTGGTAGTGACCTGGCCATCGAGGGATCATTTTTGTTTCTCACAACTAGGGGTTGCTACTAGCATCTTGGGAGTAAAGGTCAAGGATGCTGCTAAACATCCTACAATCCACCACAAGGAAATATCTATTCTTAAATGTCAGTAGTGCTGAGGTTGAAACTCTTAGACTAATTGCTGTGCCCACAGAATTGAGATTTCATTAGCATATCACCGAGGAGCTGAGAGCTGAACTCCACCTAGTTTGGTAAGTAAGGATGGCATCATCGTTGTTAGGTGCTGTCAAGTTGGCTCAGATTCATAGAGACCCTGCGTATAACAGAATGAAACACTGCCTGGTCCTGAGCCATCCTCACAATTCTTGCTATACTTGAGCGCATTGTTGCAGCTACTGTGTCAATCCATCATGTTGAGGGTCTTCCCCTTTTTGCTGAGCCCTCTGCTTTATCAAGCATGCTACTCTTCTTCAGGGAATGGTTCCTCCTAACAACATGATCAAAATGGGTGAGACAAAGTCTGGCCATTCTCAATTCCAAGGAACATTCTGGCTGCACTTCATCTGGGACAGATTTTTTCGTTCTTACAGCAGTCCATGGTATTCTTCAGTAACACCATAATTCAGAGGTATCAACTCTTGTTTACTCTTCCTTACTCATTGTCCAGCTTTCACATGCGTATGAGGCAATTGAAAATACCATGTCTTGGGTTAGGGGCACCTTAGTCTTCATAGTGACATCTTTGCTTCTTAACACTTTAAAGAGGCCTTTTGCAGCAGATTTGCCTAGTGCGATATGATGTTTGATTTCTTGACTGCTGCTTCCATGGGTGTTGCTTGTGGATCCAAGTAAAATGAAATCCCTGACAACTTCAGTCTTTTGTCCACTTATCGTGATGTTGCTTATTGGTCCAGTTGTGAGGATTTTTGTTTATGTTAAGGTGTAGAATGGTAGCAGGTAGAAAATAAGGTGCCATGGAAAAAATTAGAGAAATAATTCTCTGAACCTGGAATTAATGATTGTGGAAGGAGTCCTGTTACTACCAGTTACAAGCTCTACGTGGTTGTAAAATATACTAAGTATTTTCATACCTTAATTATAAAATGAAGACAAAGTTTAAAAAATATTATTTATGTCTCACATAAGAATCACCCTTGTTTCTTTGCCTAAGAGGAAATGAACTTTAGAGGGAAGGAGGAGGAAAGACAAGGGGCAGGTCAAACAAAGATTCTTTTGCTGTTATCATTGTCTATAAACTTCTTCAGAGTGAAAGCCAATTATAATGGAAAACTAGCTTGAGAATATTTCTTCTTTCCATGCTTTTTAAGGTCATTTCCTGTCTGATCTTCTGGTTTCCCTTTCATTGCATTCCATCTATCCTCCACACTGCTTTTAAAGTAGCCTACTTAAAATACATACAAAACTATACTCAAAAAGTGGGGAGGGTACCAGGTTTGCTGGTCTGATAGAGCCTGGTGGAACCACTGAGACTATGGCCCCTAGCTGCCCTTCATGTCTGGAATTGAACCCACACCTGTGGCTTCCAGCCAAACAAAAGACAGGCATATGAGTTGAACATTTACCTGAGGTAGATAGACTCCTTGGAGAGAGTAATCATGGAGAGAACTTTGGGAGAGAACAGAGAGACAGCTCAGGGGGCAGGAGGGCATGGAGGGATGGACACAGGGAAGAGGTAATTATCGAGAGGAAGTGGGAGGGGAGCTGTTGCATTATGGTAAACTGTGGTCAATGTCATGAGACAAAGTGTATGTAAACTGCTGTATGGAAAGTGAATTTGTTCTGTAAATTTTCACCCAAATCACAAATACATACATATATATATATATATGTATATATATATATATTCTCAAGACTCTTTCCCCCTTCCACCTTTACTACTTACATCCAAGCTCATCTTGACCCCCAAACACAATATAGATCACTGACAAGTAACACTACTGTCAGAATAACACTTTAGCTAATCATTTTGTCTGTTTTCATCTATACAAGTTTCATATTTCTTTTTCTTATTTTTATTTTGTGGATTGTTGTAGATTCTTTCCCAGTAAATAAGTATCCTATGAAAGAAAAACAAACTCACTGCCATGGAGTTGGATCCAACTTATAGCGACTCCTCGTTGGGTTTCCGAGGCGCTATCACTGTGGAAGGAGCTCTGGTAGCACTTGACTGCTAACCAGAAGGCTGGTGGTTCAAACCTACCAGCCACTCCCCGGAAGGAAGATGGGGTAATCTACTTTCGTAGTGATACTGCCTTGGAACCCAAGGAGGGGTCGCTATGAGTCAGGTCTGACTTGATGGCACATAACAACAAGAACATAACTATGGCAGTAGATTGCCCAGTCTTCCTTTTGAGGAGTGGCTGGTGGATTTGAACCACCAGCCTTCTAGTTAGTAGTCAAATGCCTTAGGTACTACGCCACCAGAGCTCTCTAAGGTGTGCTATAAATGCAGAAAAAAGGGTGAAAACTAGTAGATTTCTTTATAACAACATGGGATAGGAAAAAGACCATGAAGTTATATATTATTTTTGTCTCAGATGTAAGTAGTTGTTTTGTGATACTTCTTCTTTCCTATTTGTCGTCTTCACCTCAGAATTTTCCAAAACCTAGTACAGTGCTTGCTCAATTAATATTTGTGGAAGGAATGAAAGAGTAAGTGGATGATGTTAGAGCTACATGAAATTCTCCCAACTCAAATGGCTGCATAATTTGGCT